AAAAATAAGAAGAACTCTAAAAAAAAAACAATATCAAGAACCTGATCCATCAATAATTTCTGGAGAAGAACTGAACTTGACAATTGTCTTGATTGCAATTATCCTAGACTACCTGGCCATGATTGTCTACACAACTCAGGCAATTCTAATACACTTAAACGATTTACAAAGAATCAAGAAACTAAAGAAACAATTAGCCCTGAAATAAACCTTGAAGAAAAATTTAGAGTTTGAGATAACACTTCAAGAGAAGAGTGTCTCTTCTGCGAAAAAGTATCAATACTTAATCAACACAATTGTCTAAAAAAAAATGAAAAAAAATTCAATAAAGATTTCTTACTTTACCTTCACTGAAAAACAACTTGTAGAATCTGCTTCAAACAAGGACATCCTAACTCATATTGTCCAATTGTAACTTGTAAAATCTGTGAAGAAAAAGGACATATCTTTAAAAACTGTCCAAACAAACTCAACACTACTAAAGAAATGAAAAACTATTAGAAACAAGAAGAACCAGAAAAACAACCACCATTGTCACCAAGAATCAAGGAAGAATGGCAACTTACTTGTAAGCATTGCTTCCAAAATTACCACCAAGAATGCCTATATTATAAACTTCTTGAAGCACAACATACCCAAACATGTGGATGCAACCAAAAAAAAGTAATGAACGAAAGAATCTACCAATAGGAAACACTTGAAAATAGATCGCACCAAGAAGTGCATAACTCACCAACCTATCATTGCTACAACTGCCAAAGACCCATTAGAAAAAATGATCACTTCACATTAAACAATTTTAAAGTAATCAACCTCGATAATGTAAAGAAATATTACGACGAAATATTACTTTGCAAAACATGTTACCATACCCAATTTGAAGAATTAGAAATTGATGACCCAAAAGCAGCAGAATATTATAAAAAAGAAGGAATCAATAAATTAACCGAATACAACTTCTGTTGCAAACCAATTAGAAAAAGACAAGGCTACCAACTTTGGAACACAGGACAATATATGTGTTGTCTAAAAGAAATGATAGCATTCATGGTCTATGCAGAAATAACCGACAGATCAACATACCGTACTTATTAAAGAATCTATCATAGAACAAGATATGATGTACGACAGCACCAGGGCGTAGGATCGATTTTCCGGTCACGTGATTTTCCGAGATCAATTGGCTAATTAAAAATCAGGATCTGGTATAACGTAAAAAAAATCAAAACAAACGTTCTCTTTGCAAAAACCACATTTATTTCAAAACTTTTATTAGTAAACTGCCTTTGGAGTTCTAATAAAAAAAATTCATCGTGCAATTTTACTACTAGGCAGCTCTTCCTAACCCTAAAATACTCACGAACCTAACATAAATGTGCCTTTTTGTTTGAAAACGACAGGCCTCAGAAAATCACATGATCGGAAAATCGATACTACACCCTGTCAAATTCTATGGTGTATATACAAGCAAAAGTATCAATGAATCAAAAATTTATAGACTAATCGCCTTAATAAAAAAAGAAGAAACTTTATTTGATAAGGAAGGAATTCCTAAACAATATAATCATAAAACAATACTCTTGCAAGAAAAAAAAAATAACACTACCTATGATTGGTATATAACCCATTATAAATGATCAGAAATGATTACATTATCCTATGATGAATTAGATGATCAATTTAATGACTCAGATGAACCAATTACCGATCAAGACATAATCATAGAACCTGAAGAAATTAACACTGAAGAACAAGATCAAATCATAGCAGATATTGCTACCCAAAACCTAGACTATGATTATAAACCAAAAGAATTGGATACCAAAAATTGGAAAGAAAAGACAGCTTAATATAAAATATACGATGAACCACAATTAGATATTAAAGAAAAAGAACTTTGCACAGAATACAAATACCCTTACAACAAAAAAGAATTACTTAATAGATATTGTAACGAGTATTACAAAGAAGCTACCAAATGTATTGGTTGTAAACAACCAACCCTGTTGAAATACTAAAAAATGCGAAATGTACTATCTGCTTCCAAATGAAAGTAGAAAACCAAAGAAAACAAGAAAAAAATTAAATCTATGAAATCGAAAAAGAAGAATTCACACCAAGCAAAAAACTTAAAGTAACCACTGAAATTGAAGAATTTAACTTTAAAAAAATTAAGAGAACAAAAATCAAACAAATGAAACAACCTGAAAAACTAGCTATTGAACAAAGTGAAAATATAAAATACCTCGCTGAAGCAATAAAAATCTATCAAAAACTAAATAACACACTTCACCTTGAAAATACTGAATTAAAAAGAAAATTTGAAGAATACCGAGAACATGATTACTTAACAAGACTTAAACAAATAACAATTTGGAGAAACCAAGCTGTAGCAGAATTCATAATATTAGAACAAGAATATCCTGAAAAATTTTTGATAAATTATATAAAGAATACCTTAGTAACCTTAGAAATAATTCACCCTGAAAAATGAAAAACATCTCTGAAAAAATAAAGTAGTAAACAAGGTGCCCAAATAACGGCAAATTATAATCTACCTAACTTATTATTGTAATTTGTATAAATATTTACATTAGTCATATTCTCATAACAAATATATTATTAATCATATAAATAACTGAAAAAGAATTATAAATAACAAGTATTACAAAAGTAACAGGAAAAACTTATAAAAAGGACATGATTTTGACCAAAGCTCAAACATGCCCAAACACACTGATCATAAAAAACAAATACCTAAAATACGAGAAAGATATACAATTTGCGACTATTGCAAAGCTAAAGATCTACTTTGTGATAATAAAATATCTTGTTCATTTTGTAAACTTAGTAATAAAACTTGTAAAAAAAACTATCGTACATCTAACAAAACAAAAGTACTCAGAAAAATATTTGACGCAAAAATAAACTTATTACATACTATTGAAGAAGCAAAGTTAATCTTTGAATCACTTGAAAAGAAACACGATTTTGATAAACTTTACAAAATACTTGACAATTTACAAGATACTTCTGATGAAGAAAATGAATACCCAAATATATCACAACAACAACCAGAAGAATACACACCACACTATACTCCAAGCATGCCTGTATAGAGTGCCACACTCATAAACGAAAGTGTACTAAAATATTATCAACAAATGTCAATGACTGTGACAATTGTATAGAAAGACAAATACCTTGTGAATATAAACAACACAAGAAAAGAGAACCTAAACCTGGATATAAACTAGACCTCAACTATTATCAACAATATATTTAACAAATAGAAAAGAAAGCTCAACAAATAACTGACGACGTACAACAAGAATTACTTAAGAAATACCTTGAATAACTAAAGAAAGAAAACCAATTGTAAATGCAATCACCTTCTAAGAAAGAAGGAATAATATACGAATACGATAGAATACCTCAACAAATATACTTATTCAAATTAGCAATAATATCAATAATCAATACAATAATTGAATCAAAATATCTCAACAATATAATTGAAGAAAGAGATATTGGAAGAATATTTAATTTCAAATGAGAAACTATTTCATTATACCAATTCTATGAAATACAGTTTCACCTCTATATAAGACAACTATTCTACCAAGTAGAACAGTGTTTGACTTATAATAACTTGAAAGAACTAATTGAAGTAATTACAAATGATAACCAACAACTGGAAGAAAAGAATATTCTAATATTTGAACAACAAATTGAACAACTAGAACAAACCAAAGAAAAATACTTTCAAGACTATGATACTGCAGAAAAACAAAGAGAATTCTTATGAAATTCTATTAAAAGATCAAGTGAATTAATGAATGAATAAAGAACAAAAACTTGAAGAACTTAAAAAAGAATTACAAGAATTAAATAATGAATATAAATCAATAATAGAACAAGATTATAAAAAATACAATCATAATATTATTGCATAACAATTAAAATATCAACAACCATTACAAGTAACCAAAGAAGAAATAGAACTAAAACTAGATTATTTATTAAAAACAATTTGTGAAAAAAATATTGAAAAAACTATTACCCAACTAGAAATAGAATACGAAGAAGAAATAACTGCCTATAATATATACCAATATGAATCTTTAAACTATTGAAATAATATAGCAAACTACGTATAAAGTAGATATTACCAGGCACAAGACTCTACGACACTAAAAGAAGCAATACACCAATATGAAAACTCATTATTCAGAGTATATAAAGAAATAATTGGAAAAGAATTCTTTATTGACGATCAAGGAAAAGTAGACTCATATTACTCTGATGACAAATATACATATTGCTACAATACAAAAATATAGTAACTGGATTAAAATAATTATTATCAAAACCAGAGAAAATACGAACTAAATTTGAAGAAAATGCTATTACACTATACTATCAAGAACTACAATATATCTACTGGAAATTAAACGCAAAAGAATACACTTGTATAAACTTAGAAAATTTATTATTCAACTACCTTATAGACAAAGGAACTGACAATAAATATTTAAACCAATTACAAACTATACAACAAACTGACATACAATTAGAAAAAGAGTACCAAGTATTTGAACACCTCTACGAAGTAAAAGAAATATTACAAAATATTCTAAAGAAAAAGAATCAAGTACTAAACTTACCAGAATCCCGAATAGAAGAATTAATAACACTAACTAATAAAATATACAAGAACCAAACTACATAAATAATAACTACTGAACTTAGAAATCTTACCGACCGAGATTCTATCGAATATAAAAACTTAAGTCATATTAAATATATTATACAAGAAATCAACAAAATACTTATATGAAACTAGAAACAAAACAATATATAACTTTAATTGCAAATAATATACGAAACAAAATAGAACAACGATTCCCAGAACAATAATATACCAATTCAATAGACAAATTCAAAAAGTAGAAACTATTTTAAATCTAGAAGGAATATCTCTGCAAATCCAACAATTCTAATACAATTAGTACAAGAAACTCAAGCATTCTTGAAAGAAATAACTTGCAAAACAAGTAGAAAATATATATGAAAAACAATCTTACCAAAATTATATATCTGCACAACATATCGAGATTATATAAACCTCGAAGAAGAATTAATTACCATAACACTCACCGAACTACTAACTTATGAACCTTAAAACAAAAATTCAAGGAATCAAATCAGTCTGTATATTATTAAAAGCAGCATTAACAACTAGACAAATAAGTAATAACATACTTACTTTAACAACACGATCTCACAAAGAAAATATATCTGAACTAATTAAAAAAAGAATAGAAGCTATATTCAATAGGCTACTTGAAAATAATTCTAACCTGACAGAACAACAAAGAACTAATATCGACTATTGGCCAACAGACCAATCATTATTAGTATTATATATTAAAAAACTAATTAAACAAACAGATATTTGGTTATTAACCAATACTACATTAGAAACTTAATATCAATATTAACAAGACAAGACATAGACGATATTACATCATCAAAATAGAAAACCCAATAAACGAATTATTAGAACAACTAAGAACAGAATTTCACTCTTTACGATTCGAATACTGGATACTATATAAAAATAGAATACCTTACCCAAAGGACAAATTTGACTCAAGAACCCAGGATATAGGAAAAGAAATATTACAACAAAGTCCACCACATCGTGTATGAAAAGATATTCAAAGAACAATACAAGATTTATTAGCAAGGACCAATCCAACCAATAGCTTAAAATTAGAAGCAATACTAAAACTATTAGACACCTCTGTACAAACAGCCGTATTAATAACTTTTAGTCAAACAACCTATTATAAGTGTACTTATAATCAAAAAGAAGAAATTTTAATCAACCTAACAGATATATATACATATATTAAAAACTTCTTATTCAACCTAGAGCGATTAGAAAAAGAATCT